CCAACCACAACCAGTAAACACCAACTACAACCCACCAACCACAACCAACCACACCATCTAGTCCACCACAAATACCCAACGACTTCCAACCCCACCGCAACAATTAACACAAACAAGACCATCCCACATACAAATACAAATTCACTTAAATAAACATTAATATAATCAAATACAATAAACCTATCAAAAATCATATATCACTCTATCTTAACCCCACCTTTCTGTTTTGTTCATTATTAGTCCACTCCACCAAATAATAAATTAATATAAAATCTATAAAAACAAAAATCCACCACCTCCACAAAATCAACCAAATCCATATTTCTTATATTACACCAACCCCTACCGAACCACCACCTCCTGAAAAACCTCAATTTTAAACCAAAATTAACAACGGGGAACATACATGAATTTCCCGCCAAAAAGTTGAACACCCCCAAAACCCCAAAAATTCTCCGAAATTTCAGACCCATTTTCAGAGCATTTCCTGAGATTCCCACCAACCAAATCCCACCAAACTACATTACCCAAACAATCAAGAATACACAAAACCACCAAACCAACCAACATCAATGTAGTTTATCATACAAACACACCCAATACAGTACTACGACCACCAAACCAAAAACCCACCACACAATAAACTAAATCATCACCCAAAATACACCTACAAGGAGAAAGCAATTAAATAACTACCAATCCTACCACCCACCAACCAACAATCACACCAGGTCACAACCAAACACAAAATCACCCACCACCCACATCAACAACACATATTCACTTAAATAAACATTACTAAGAATGAAATATAATATAATAACGAATCATCTCACAAATTGATTTACACTAAGTTGCCCATTGTATTTACATCATAACCATAAACACACCAAAATCATATAATTAATATCCAACAAATACACACACCCCACCAACCCTCACTACACCAACTTAAACAAATCCCAACCACATTCTAATTTATTAAACTATACCACAAGATAAACAATAATAAATAATCATCATGAATAAATCTAACAACAATAATATGAGATAAAGTAATAGATATACGATTCATGCATCAGTATCATATTCAAAACCAATTATAGATTTATTTAATTACCCTTTACCCCAAGCCCACCAGANAATATAAGAAGTTTAGTGGAATGGGAACTTTTGGTAACGTTATTGGTTTAATAGATATTTGAGATGGTTATTATTATGATATTATTGAATGAAAAATCTAAATCAAAAATGAAATAGGCAAAGATTGATAGATGGATGACTTTATTGATGGTTATTTAGTTGGTTTAATTTGGTGTTTACATAATTTAGATTCAGTTAGTGGTTTGATCTGGTGTGTTGGTGTGGTGTGT